GTTCACAGATTCTTTTTGCACGGTCTGCCAAGGCTTTAATGGTGCTTCTTTTTTGACTTGGGTGATGGTTGGAGTTTTTATGTAGATATGTGTGGTTTTCTGTAAACGGTGTGACCCAATTGTTGATCTGGTTTGCAGATGACTAGGACATCTAGAAAAGGCAGTCTTCCTTCCTTTTCTTTTTCCATAGTGAACTGGATGTTTGGGTGGATGCTGTTAAGATGTTCCAGGAACCTGTTGAGTTCTTCTTCTCCATGGCTCCAAATGGTGAAAGTGTCATCCACATATCTGAACCATATAGTGGGCTTTTTGGTTGCTGTTTCCAGGGCTTGTTTTTCAAAGTGTTCCATGTAGAAATTAGCTATGACTGGGCTGAGAGGGCTCCCCATAGCTACTCCATCTTTCTGTTCGTAGAATTCATTGTCCCACTGAAAATAGCTGGTGGTGAGGCAATGGTGAAACAGCGCCGTGATGTCTTCTGGGAACCTCTGGTTGATGAGTGCCATGGTGTCTGCAACTGGGACCATGGTAAATAGAGACACCACATCGAAGCTGATCAGTTTGTCATTTGTATTTAGCTTGAGATTGCTGATTTTTTCAATGAAGTGGGCTGAGTCCTTGATGTAGTGTGTTGTGAGCCCAATGTGGCTTTGTAACTGTGCAGCAAGAAATTTGGCTAAGTCATATGTGGGGGATCCAATGGCACTCACGATGGGTCTGAGTGGGGTGGAGTCCTTATGGATTTTTGGGAGTCCATAAAGCCTAGGTGGAAGGGCTTCCGATTTACATAGCTGCTGTCGTATGTCAAAGTTGATTGAGGAGTTCTTAATTAGAGTGTTGGTTTTTCTGGTTATTTTGGAAGTTGGGTCTTGCTTAAGTTTTCTGTATATAGTAGGGTTCAGGAGTTTTCTGATCTTCTTCTTGTATTGTTCTATATGCATGATTACTGTGGCATTCCCCTTGTCTGCTGGCAGAATGAGGATATCAGGATCTGAATTTAGGTCTCTAATGGCTTGTCTTTCCTTCCTTGTAATGTTACTGGAGGGGAGTTTTGCCTTTTTCAGGATCCTTGCTGCTTCAGACAAGCATCCCAAGCTCATCTATGCTGATGATTGTGCCATCACCGCTCAAGCAGGGAGCTTTGAGAGGGTTGAACAGAAGCTCTCCGAAGCTCTAGGTGCTCTTACTGCCTATTACAGGGAAAACCAGCTGATCCCTAACCCACCTAAAACACAGACATGTGCTTTTCATCTCAAGAACAGAGAAGCATCCCGAGCTCTGAGGATTACCTGGGAAGGAATCCCACTGGAGCATTGCAGCACACCCAAATACCTGGGAGTCACTCTGGACCGTGCTCTGACCTACAAGAAGCACTGCCTGAACATCAAGCAAAAAATGGGCGCTAGAAACAATATCATATGAAAGCTGACTGGCACAACCTGGGGATCACAACCAGACACAGTGAAGACATCTGCCCCTGCGCTATGCTACTCTGCTGCTGAGTATGCATGCCCAGTGTGGAACACATCTCACCATACTAAAACAGTAGATGTGGCTCTTAATGAGACATGCCGCATTATCACGGGGTGTTTGCGCCCTACACCACTGGAGAAATTACACTGTTTAGCCGGTATTGCACCACCTGACATCCGCCGGGAAGTAGCAGCCAATAGTGAAAGGACCAAGGCAGAGACATCTCCAGCTCATCCCCTGTTTGGGTATCAGCCAGCACGTCAATGACTTAAATCAAGAAATAGTTTTCTAAGATCTACAGAGACACTCGCTGGAACACCTCAGCAAGCGAGAGTCCAAAAGTGGCAGGCTCAAACCCAGAACCTCAATCAATGGCTGACACCAAATGAGTGACTCCCTCCTGGGCACACAGAAAACTGGGTCTTGGAAGTCGCTGAATAGACTGTGCTCTGGCACCATGAGATGCAGAGCCAACCTTAAGAAATGGGGCTACAAAGTGGAATCCATGACATGTGAGTGTGGAGAAGAGCAAACTACAGACCACCTGCTGCAATGCAACCTGAGCCCTGCTACATGCACAATGGAGGACCTTCTTAAAGTAACACCAGAGGCACTCCAAGTGGCCAGCTACTGGTCAAAGGACATTTAATCAACTACCAAGCTTGCAAACTTTGTGTTTTGTTTGTTTGTTAAAAAAATGCAGTACAACTGTTTGGTCTGCTCCTGACATGATAAATAAATACCAGCTGAACAAAAATACAAAATACCAGAGAAAGATTATGACAGTCTACTACTTAATTCTTCTGACATTTAAAAAACTAACTCTAGCATTACTTTTGAAGCATCTCTGTGAGCTAGGAAGAGTTATATAACACAATGAGCTTTTAAATCCAGGTGATCCAACTACAGTCTTACTAACCATATGAGTATCAAAAATCATGTTTGCCCTTCTCAACTGTTGTGCAAGAGCCAAATGAATGGGTTTGCAGACAATGTTTACCTCCCATTTATATCTTATCCTTCCACTAACAGCTTTTAGTGATGCAAAGCAAGCTGTCCCATTTTTTTCCTTTACATCCCTGTGATGTGAGGGATAAGAGCAGTTGAATCTCAACAACATCTGGAGATCTACAAGTTGTTCAAGTTTGTCAAAAGGTTGGGCGAAATCTCACATCACTTTGATGGGTGGATATAAAGAAATGGGTACATGTGTGTGTTTGGGGGGGGGGGGGATGTGCTCAGCCAGATTCAAAATGCTTTCTTTTTGCTGACAACCTTAAATATTCTGCAGGAAATAGTTTCCACTGAGAGAATAGGTAAAAAAGTCATAGGTACTCAATCAGTTTTTTAAAAATTATGTACTTCACAAAACAGTATACCTTTTTGTTTCGCATTTCTAGCAATGACAGCCACAGTCCCACAAAAGTGATGCAATTTCCCTTCCTTGCATATGATTTGTTTCTATTACTCCTCAGAATGTCAATATTCATATTGTATATGTAATACCCCTGGTCCAGTTTAGGAAAACCGAAACTATGGAAGTTCAGAAAACATGTAGAAACATAGGAAAAGACATGCAGCACAGGTTGTGTGCCTTAGGTAAAGAAAGGGTTTCCCACGACATTAAGTCTAGTCGAGTCTGACTCTGGGAGTTGGTGATCATTACTAAGCTGAAGAGCCAGAGTTGTCCACAGATACCTCCAAGGTCATGTGGCCAGCATGACTGCATGGAGCACAGTTACCTTCCCACCAAGGCGGTATCTATTGATCCATTCACATTTGCATAATTTGGAACTGCTAGATTGGCAGAAGATGGGCCTAACAGTGTGAGCTCACCCTGCTCCCCGGCTTCGAACTGCCAACCTTTTGGTCAGCAAGTTCAGTAGCTCAACAGTTTAACCTGCTGCGCCACCCGAGGGTCCTGTGTGCCTAACTTGTATGTATATTAAGTATGACACCTACAGCTAGAACAGTAGCACATCCAGCATTGCCATAGATTGAAATGTACACAGGAAATTGAAATTACATCTTGACTTTTAAGAGGCCTCTTCCATATAGCTGTATAAAATCCACATTGATCTGGATTATATAGCAGTGTGGACTCAGATAATCCAGTTCAAAGCAGATATTGTGGAACATCTGCCTTGATATTCTGGGGGACCTTCCACACAGACATATAACCCAGGATATCAAGTCAAAAAATCCAACAATATCTGCTTTGAACTGGGATATCTGAGTCCACACTGCCATATATTCCAACTCAAAGCAGAAAATGTGGGATTTCATTCAGCTGTGTGGAAGAGGCCTTTGTTCTATGGCTGTGTGGAAGGGCCTGGAGACCTTGACCACAAGTTATAGCAATAACAGTTTCATCACATGTGGGCTCTTAAACATTATTGTCCCCAGCATAAGGAACAGAGCAAATATGGGAAGTCTTATTTATTCATACAAGGATAATGGTTTGCCTTTTCTTCTCCACAAATATATATCCTTTAAAAAAAAAGGGGGGGGGGAGAGACCAAGAGGACTAAGCTATGCCAAGTCATAAACAAAGACTGGATTTCTATGTTTCATCAAATGAAATAGAGTGGCTTAACACCTAAAGGCACTATAGCTAGACGTTAAGTTTTACTTCAAGTCACCCTATTTGTGGCTGGTGAGAGTTGCAGTCCAAACACCTGGAGGGTTAAAATATGTTCACATTGTTTTAAATCTTTCTTGGTATGTATACGCAAATATGGCAACATGTACTTCTTCTTATATGAAAAAAACAGCCTGTATCTTTTATTCAAGAGAAAAGTCAAACTAGAATTGACAGAAAAAAATATCGACCTTGACATGCCAGCATTTCTATAGAAATCTCACAATCAATTAACCAAGAGAACACAGATGACTATTTTAAATCTAAGGCCTCAGTATTGAAGAATACTTTCTCCAGCTTTGTTTTTGTTCCTTGCTGCAAAGCAATGGCTTTGGATCAAGGATACAGTGAAAATGCCTTATGATCTCCAGTAAAGTAAAGAAAGCTATGCTTCACTTGACAGCCATTATTTCACAATGATTCCAGGTTACATTGCGACATTATGCTGTTCTAAGGAGGTAAATACCACACCACAAACATGTAGTTTAAACCTTCAGTTATTTGGACAAAATTAGTGATTTGTACACAAAAATATTTTGTAGTTTTCTGGAGGAGCTCATTGATGCATAAAGATAAAATGTTATGATAAAACAATTCCACATATTGGATAATGATAAATTGACCTTTTGGACTATAACTACAATAATTGGTGCTTTTCATTTGCCAGTTTTAAATATTTATCTGCAGTACCAGACATAACCCGTGTAGAACTTATTCACTCTTCTGGAAGTTACATGGATATATTAATAAGGTTTTCCAGGTAACAGAACATTATTTTCTGAACTAAGCTTTAAACAAAACAGCAGATATATTTATTACATGTCCTGCCTTGCTCTCAAATGATAAATGTTATGGAATTAAGTAACAGTTGTTCAAAAATACTCACTCAACATAGTATGTTCCATATTGAGGGTCTTCTATTTTCTCCCAACCATAAGGAAGCTCTGTAATTGGAAGAGGTACACAGTTTATTACTCAAATTTATATGCCCTTCTTCAGGGCTTAAAGCAGTTTACAGATTTTTTTTTATAAATATCTCATTTCTATCAAGCTTGAAATCTATTAAGTTTAGCTGGCATGGGGAACCAAGTACAGGCAGTCCCCGAGTTAAAAACATTTGACTTACAAATGACTCATAGTTAAAAATGGGGGTGAGAAACAACAAGAAGTAAGAGAAATCTACCCCTAAGAAGGGAAATTCACTCCTGGAAGAGTTACCATGGGGAAAAGGTGGCTCCACTGAAGCTTTATAACCAATCCTTGTTTCCACAACAAGCCATTTTTATCAAAATCCAATTAACACAGGGAGAGAAAGTAAGGTGAAATCTTCTGAACAGGGGCACAGGCAGCAAAACAAATACCACAGGGGTGTTCACCCTACCTTATGCTAGCCAAAGCTAGCTCTCTCTCTCTCTTTCTCTCTCTCTACACATACATACATATACACACTTAAAATGTACCAGTTCTCCGACTTAAAGTAAAGGTAAAGGTTTCCCTTGACATTAAGTTTACTTGTGTCCAACTCTGGGTGGTGTGCTCATCTCCATTTCTAAACCGAAGAGCCGGAGTTGTCCACAGACACCTTCAAGGTCATGTGGCCAGCATGACTGTATGCAGCCCTGCTACCTTCCTATTGTACCAATTGATTGACTCACATTTGCATGTTTTCGTACTGCTAGGTTGGCAGAAGCTGGGCCTAACAGCGGGAGCTCACCCAGTTCCCCGGATTCGAACCACCAACCTTTCGGTCAGCAAGTTCAGCAGCTCAGTAGTTTAACCTGATGTGCCACCAGGGGCTTGTAAGTTCTCCAACTTACAAACAAATTAAACTGAAGAACAAACCTACAGAACCTATCTTGTTCATAACTTGAGGACGGCCTGTAGAGCAAACCCCCCCCCCCCCAAATCAGTACACAACTGAAAGAACAATAAAATAAGCACCTTCCCTTTTCACAATGCTTTGGAAAAGGATAGATTGGTGCTTACTGTGAAAGTTTCATTGGGGCAGGTCTGAGTGAGGCATKCAGAAGAGCAAGCTATGTTCTAGGCACTTTCAGAAGAGGCATGGCCATGGGATATCATATCAGTAAAAAATAGCTGCCTTTGGTTCAAGCTCTTGTATTGAATGCAGTTAAGCTTGGATCATATTCAGAAGAGTTCCCCAGATAGAGGATAGCACACAAATGAAGGTGGAATTGACTCTTCCCATCTAAGAAGTGTGAAGGTCAATGAAATAATGTCAAAAGATGGTGTGGTAGGGAGACCCAAGACTCCAGCCAGTGTGGTATAGTGGCTTGAGTGCCAGACTAGGACTCTGGGAAGCCATACACAAAATCCCCACTCTGCCATGGAAACCTACTGGGTGATCTTAGGCAAGTCAACTCCCATCTTAAGATGAAAGGCAATGGCAAAGCTCTGGATAAATCTTGCCAAGATAAGCCAATTAAAGGATTACTGTAAGTTGGAGTCTACCTGAAGGCGCATCTCTACATCTTCCCACCAACCAATTTTATGATGTATCTGGCAAAAGTTGGTTTTGGAAATGCAACTAGCCATAATGTAGTATTTGGTAAAGGTAGTGGTCCTTCCCCACATAGATGCCCTAGATATTTCTTCCAGAGTGGGGCTGGTGGGGATGACAGTTAAAATAGGTGCAGCCTTAGTGAAATATGATATTCTGTGGTCAGGGCAGATGAGCCACACCATATGTTTGAGTTACGCAGGCTTTGATTCAGTATACTCATGTGGATTTACAGACCTCTCCCCTCAAGGAAGCAGTGTGAAAGGAAATAAAGAGAGTCTTGTTATCATCTCAGTGATCTCAGAGATCATAAGCATATAAATATTTATTAATGATGTCTCACATGCTAATATGTTATATGCCTCTTAATACTAAAACACTAAGTGTTTGTATAGAAAAATGCAACAGAAGTGGTCAACAGAATTTCTTCTAGGCATCTGGCCAGAAAGAGCCACAAACATTTACACTCCTTCTACAGATAAAAGGTCTAGGAAGAATGCCAAGTTATCCCAGCTGCAGAACCATGGACATTAATTTTCTTAGACTACAAATAGCAGAATGCAGAATTGATGGCACCACTCTCCTAAGATCTGAATACAAGAAGGAAACAACCAAAGAAATGTGGTTTCTAAATCAGTTCATTGGAATGTCACTGAACCTTGCCAACTAGGCAACCTGTGTAAACTGATCCAGATGTCTGAGTGACTAGAAAATGCTATCTTTCTTTCTTTCTTTCTTTCTTTCTTTCTTTCTTTCTTTCTTTCTTTCTTTCTTTCTTTTTGTTGTTGTTGTTGTTGTTGTTACATTTATATCCCGCTTTATCTCCCCAAAGGGAACTCAAAGCGGTTTGACATAAAAGCATTAGGATACTAGTTAAAATATACAAATAGGCAACCATTAAAACAGAATTAAAGACAAACACTAAAAATGCACCGTTCAAATCCATCAAACCATGTTCAAAGTTAAAAACCAGCACCCCCCTGACTAGATCTTTAAAACCTTCATCTTTAAAAGCTAGTCTGAATAAAAGGGTTTTAGCCTGCTGCTGGAAGGACAGAAGGGAAGGGGCCATTCTGGCTTCCCTGGGCAGGGAGTTCTAGAGCCTGCTCTTTCGTTCCCCTCAACTGAGCTTGAGATGGAGGTGGGACTGAGAGAAAGGCCTCTCCTGAAGATCTCAGGCCCTGGGCAAGTTCATAAAAGGGGATGCGGTCAGCCAAATAGCCTGGATCTGAATAGTCTAGGCTTTAAAGGTCACAACCAGCACTTTGAATTGTGCCTGGAAACAGACTGGCAGCCAATGGAGCTGCTGCAATAGGGGGATTGTTCACATCCCCAGTTAGTAACCTGGCTGCAGCTCTAGAAAACTAAATACAGAGCTATGCTGAAATAATACATTTTAAATGCTTAAATATACTGAACAGTATTTGTGATGTACCTCACCATTATAAGATATTAGATTCCTTGTAGGCTAAAACATATCTCATGAGATTAATGGTGTCTCATAAATTGAATTGTCTGATTAATGATAAAATGTCCCTTATAAAACTGATGCTTTATATAAAATTATCTACCTAGAATGTGAGATGCCTATGCAAGGAAATATACTGTAGCATGTCTATAAAATATAAGAGATACCTCCACGGATGGGTATACCTCCGTAAGTGGATTGTTTTAAGTACTAAATTTGTTTGGTTGCATGGAATCAGATGAGAGACTCCCCCCTGGGCACACAGAAGATTGGGAGACCTGGAAGGCAGTGAACAGACTGCACTCTGGCACGATGAGATATAGAGCCAATCTTCAGAAATGGGGCTACAAAGTGGAGTTCACGGCATGCAAGTATGGAGAAGACAAACCTATGACAATGCAACCTGAGATCTGCCACATGCACAATGGAGGACCTTCTTACAGTGACCACAGAGGCACTCTAAGTGGCTAGCTTCTTGTCAAAGAAAATCTAATATAATGCCAAGTTTTAAACGTTGTTTGTGTTCTTTTAAAAATACATTATAACTGCACCCTCATTTTGCTTCTGACACGATAAATAAAAAAAAAGTTACACAACACTGGATGATGACAGGTGGGTCACTGATTCTTCCTCTAGGGCTATGTTTCCCTAAAAATGTAGTCTGAAGTTGTGGAACCTCCATGAATTAACCTGGGAAGCTATTTTCAAAGCAAGTAATAGGCAACATTTGTTGCTTCTTCATCTATGACCATAGGCTACATACTGGACTGCAACTCCTTTACTGTCTGAAAGGCCTGACATTGATGCAACAAATTCTATAATACAGTAGACTCTTAGTTAACCAGCACCCATAGGGATTGGTAGATGCTGGATAAATGTAGTTTCTGGTTGCGTAAGAGTTGCTATTAAAACAGACCTAATCATATACCACATACTATACCATACCATAAATTCTGTGTTGACTTGATATTAAGATTTAAATACAGTAATTAAAAGCAAATAATAACAAATAAAGACAAAGTTATCTTAATGTAACATAGTCTTACTGTATTATAAAAACAGCTTTTTGAATGCAGTGTCATTTCTTCATTTTTTGGCCAGTTTATATAATAATAACTTAAACAATAACTTATATAATCATTTAATATTATTATTATTATTATTATTATTATTATTATTACACTTTATTTATAACCTGCCTTATCTTCCCGAGGGGACTCAGTGCGGTTTCCAGCAATGTAACAAATTGGCAAACATTCAATGCCAAAATAATCAAGTATTAAATAAATCAAATACAATAAGACAACCTATAACTATATAAGGCTGACCAAAGACTAAAAAAATTAAAACACAGATAAACCTAATATATCAATACATTAACCACACAATAAAATCTTTTAAGTTATGCTAAAAAGGCATTAAAATATGAGACCATTTTTGAGTTCTGGTTAACTAAGAGTCTACTGTAGTAGTTTTTCAAACTTCATACTGTCCTGTCTTAACACAAAATATAAAATCTCATGCTAATTTATATCCATAATCAATACAGGGATAATAAAAAGTACTATTTTTCATAAGTTACCATTATCTATGTAATTATTTTCAGCACATAAAATGTACCATGTTTTATCTTGTACACATTTTATGCATAACGAAATGTAGACACAATTGAGGTGGATTCATTAGAAATACTATACAGTTTATGTATGTTAGTCACTAGACAAAATATGCTACTAGTCTGAGAGTGCAGAATTTGCCTTTAGGGACCTCTTGACAGTATTTTTGGATTTTAGCCACGGAGCCCAATGACTCCCATCACACACTGGAAAACTACTTCCAGGGTGGCTCCATGGCTGAAGTACTGCTGTAGTAAAAAAAAAAAAAAAAAGGGGGGGGGCTTCCTCCCATGTGATGAAGAAGGGGGGAAGTTGCAACAGAACAGGGCATGGGGTGACAAGCCCCTATACTCCTGGCGTGAACGCCGGTGGGACCCAGCAATCCAGGACATCTTCAGTGGTATGTGTGACAAGGTCGTAGGATACACAACGAGAAGATTGTAAAGGGAAGCAAAAGTCAGTTCTTGTAACTTTCAAGCAAACATTTGTTACAACGTAAGTTCACAATTAGTCACCTACTGCTAATGCTTATCAGCATGTATGCTGCCCTACTATGTTATGAAATCTTATACATGGATAATTGGGACAGCTGCTGCCTTGCAACTTCATGGCCAATGTTATTGCTATTGGTGCAACAATTGTATCTTCAAGGATAAGCTGGAAAACACCAACACTGACTAATTCCCAATTTATTTTGACTATATTATCTATGCATTTCTTCCTAATGCCTAAACTGTGCAGAGCTACATTAAGGTTTTTCAATTTTTTGCTAATTCATGCACAACCAAATTGCTAGATATAAAAACACACTTTTGCAAACTTTTTCTGTGCAATGGAACTTAATCTGCATTTTCAGTTTAATGTACACGGAAAGTAAAGTGTAGTTTATGGGTAGAGTCCAGTGTACTGAAATCAGTAGGATTCCCACCATGACATCAAGTGTTGAACTGAACTCTAAATAAGAAACAGGATTCTAAGTTCTCACCTCCATCTTCACAGTCTTCAGGAGCTTTGGCTTTTTTACAAAGACGAGGATCCAACCAGGTGGTCGTTTTGGTGTTGTGACTATGGGACACAGAGGATCTAGTTAAGAGAAACACTCACAGAAAGCCACTTTCACATGTAATCATAGCATAAGAAGCTTTGAGCTCATTACATAACCCCATGTGATGTTTGGCTGCATATTAAATGATGCAGCCATATGGACACAAACAATCCACTGCCATATATATGTCTGCTCGAATCATGGAACTGTAGATATGTATGAAGGCAGGAAACAGAATGGAAAGATTCCAAAACAATTAATTCATTTCAACTATAGAGCCCAAAATTAAGGAAGCTAGCTACACAATGTACTATAACCGTTTGAGTCATGCTCTTGTTTCCAGCTACAAAATTGGAACTGACGGAAAGGAAAAAAAGTTAATCAACCATAAACTGTTTCAGAAGTATGTGTCCACAGTCACAGTTTATGTAGTTTTGCTACAAAACAACAGGTTTGTTTGGAGTGGGGTTAGCTTGGGTTATGGTTGTCAGAAAATACTGGTAACTCTCCAACATTCAGTGCATGATGAATCCAGCAATTCTGTGGATCTGTGTGGGCGTATGTGTAAGTTCGGCAGACAACAGACAGACTAATGAGACAAAAACACACATATTCCTTCTATAGCTCCTTATCACGGGTCTAAAAATATATGCTGTTCAGCTACACTTTAACAATTACAAAAATAAAAACACATACCTGCATAAAGAAACAGAATCGCTTTGTGTTTTTAGGATACCAATTTCAGGATCCAATTTAAAACACAACTGTCAGAAAATATTAAACAAAATCCTGATTTCTCTCATAAAATATTCACATACCTTATCGTTAAAGCTGTACATCTAATATGATAAACTAAAAATCTTCAGAGTCTCTTGAACATTTTTAATTGCCAACTTCTACTCACTCAATAAAGTAGATCATGCCTGTGTCTGTGTAGGCCATCTCCCAGTTCTTAGGAAGAGGCTCTAAGTTTTCTTCTCTTGATAAATAGTTTCGAAAATCCATTGTACTATTTGTCTGATTATAACTAGGAACAGGCTTCATCCAGTCAGAAGAATCTGAATGTCTCTCTTTGTTTTCTGAAATTATTTAAAGAAACTTGTTAACATATGTTTATGTTGCTTTACACACAGAGGCACCTCATGCATAGATTATAACGCTATATCAAAAACAGAATTCCACCATATTATGCCATATTATTTTTCTTTTATAAACTCAATGAAATACAAATTATATACTCCATTTAACATAAAGTTGATTTGATGGCTAACCCCTTCTGTAAGAAAAACAATTTGGACTAGACATATGAAACCTATTTCAGTGCATCTCTTTGCAACTAGATCCAGTCTGTAAGAAAAAAAATAAAACAACCTGGACCAAAAATATGAAATCAGTTTCAGTGCATTTCTTTACAATACTTCCACTGTTCTTTGGAAAATCACAAGTTATTAAAAATAGTATGAGATTATCAAGAGAGAAATGAAATAGGGAGGTGGACTAATTCTGAACAGTCTATTTTTTTATTTTGGACATTTTTTTCTAAAAGCAGAACACATGAAAAACAAGTTGAAATAAAGACTTGTCAGTCTAACATTCCGTTTTCACAGTGGTCAGCTAGCTGCCTATGGGAAGTCCACGAAAATCATGAGCAGAACTGTATCCCCTGAACTCAGAAATGCTATGAATGAGAAAAGGTAAAAAGTGGTTGTATTGAACACAAAAGCCAAATTCTACATTTGAGGTCAAATCACAGGATGTAAAATTGGAAGAATGTTACAAATGGGCTAATGAAAAAATAATAGAAGATAGAACAACACTTTATGTTAAAAAATTCTATATAAAACCTTACATTTGCATATCTTCCCCCCACACATGAGGGTTTAAGTTTTGCAAATTTGATTATTCACTGATTGGATTAATATGTTCTCTCTGGGAATCTCATGGGGCACATCTACACTGAGCATTTAATGCAGCTTGAAGTCAGCTTGAAAGTGCAGCAGCTATATAATGCATGCCACAATGTGTTCCTAGGGCCTTTAACTACCACAAGCTATATTAGGGAATAGTCGGGAATAGCGCCTTTAATATGTATCAAGGGAGTTAAGAAAATACTGCATTCTCCACAGCTGTCAAGCTGTGGATAATATGAATCCTGGAAGCAGTTTAAGACCAACCTATGTGGTTTGTATAATCACCATTTGTACTCAAACTGGTTCCAGGATTTCCAATCTAGTTATTTGCACACCAAAACCACTTTCTTCTATGCCAGTTTGAAACTGACCTATGTGGTGAGTGTAGATGTGCCCTAGGTGCTCCAAGGCAATTTTATGGTCAATTTCCACCATAAAGTGTTGAAAATGCCCCTTAGAGGTAATGCTCCTTAGAGGTGGCAAAAGGCTTTTGAAAAATTTCACAAAAATTGTTTGACTCCATGGCAGTCCAAGGGCCTTCCACAACCCTAGAGGTCATTTGGTAGCAAAATAATAATAACAAAATTTCCCCTGGAGGGCTACATGTGGGTCATGAGCCACACTTTAACCACTTCCGTTTTAGGCTCTGAGACTTTTACATACTTCAACATTTTCTGGACTACAGAAGGGAATGTGCCTAAAAGAAAAGTATACAGACTACTAAAGAACCATCTTGTATTTAATTGCAGGATTTAATTTATTACTAAATATATAATTAAACAAGTTAACAGGTGTACTAACCTGTTCCTATGCTACCATTAAGTGTTTCCTTCTCCTCTTCCTCTTCCTCTTCAGGTAGGGAACTGTCCATTTTCTGCATCTTGCTAACCGATGTTGTTCTTTTTCTTTGAGATTCTGGGTCAAAATCATTATCAAAGAGTACCTGGTCCACTGGATCTGGCTGAAATGGACTAGGCTCTGCTGGAGGTTTAGGGGTACCATAGAAATTACCTGGGAGGGAAACAATGTGCACAGTAATCAGAAATAATTACCACATATACCTACATTATTTTTCTATTATTTTGATTTTCCCAGACAAGCTATTTATTTAGCACCAACAACTACAGATAAACAAACTCCAGTTTTAGCTTAAGACCTACCTAATTTATATTTATGGTAATATAAATTGCTTTCATATGGTAACAACATTTTATCTGAAATGAAAATTTAATCGTAATCTAATTTAAATAAAACATTCAACTTCACAAAATCCAGAAATAATAATACAGTAAAAATAGAACCTGGTTTTGATTTTTTTTTCTGGATACCAAGACTTTCAGATAAATTACAAATTTATTTTCAAGTTTCTTTGTGACTTTTTGTAAATTGGAACATACTGGTAATTCACATGTAAGGCTGCTGCTGCTACAACATTTTTTTAACAGATGAAACACTAAAGAATTTTACACACACACATTTTAGGGTGTCCCACAGTTTCCTTCTATGCATGTATGTACATTAATTTGCTTTCATCTCACCTGTTACCTTATGAAAACCCCACGAATTGCATGGTTTTGTTGGGCAAGGAATACTTAGTAGTAGTTTTGCAAATTCCTTCCCCTGAAATATAGCAGACAGCATTTACAGATGGTTAAAGGAAGAGGGAAACAGCAAAACTACGTGAGTTGGGAGCAAAGTAACTGCTTTGGGAGCAGTTTTGCCTAAGAAAATCCCATAAATTCAAAATGTCACTGTAATTTGACAGGCAACTAGAAGGCACAAAGGAGTTTGTGTGCCATACACACTTTACATGCTTTATGTAGGAGATGCTAGGGTTATACTAGTGCACTGCATGAACCTTAACTTCTAAACAGAAAGCGTTGATGCTCTGACAAAAAAAAGTGTCAAAGAGCGGCATAGAAGACTCAAAAAGATGTCTATACCATCCTACCACTAGCATACATTTATAGTGTCATTGTGTCATGTATAATTAGAATTAAATTTGATTAAATTCATTGGGATTTATTCCCAGGTACATGTGACTGCCTATCATTTTATGCAATGTACTGTCTAATGCATTTTAACCACATATCAATATTAAAGAGCATATTCAGCTTTTGCATGTTATAATGCATACTGAAATACTATAATTTTCAAACAGGCTAAATGTATTTCTGATACTGCTGCTCAGAAAAAGTAAACTACTTAATCTCAAAAGGGTTGCCCCACATGGGGTTTCTCATAAATGAGGATTTTGTAATTTTACCTTGTGTTCACTAATGCCCCCTATGAGGCACACAGAAAAAATACGTAACAAGGAACAACAACAACAAAATCAATTCTGTTTTAATATGCACCGCATGATATTTAACTAATACAGAACAATCTGTAAATTTTAGCAGGCTGAAATCAAAAGCAGATATATATTTGTGCAGAAACACAAAACAGTAATTTATACCAAGGCAACATTAAATTCACAGTTGGAGGTTTAGTCCCATGGTTTCAAATGTAGTTTGTTCTCCAAATAATGCTGCCAGCTCAATGCTGAATTATATCCCAAAAAGCTAAAAATACTACAATGCCTCACTTGAAGAATCTCAGCAGTATTTCACAATAAAAAAAGTCTTCTGGAACAAAAATTAAAACAATTGGAGTTTTTTTTACTACTTAATTAATGATATGGTTTTACTAAAGGAATATGTAGACTGCTGTAAACATGGTCAGGAATTTGGATGTGGTAACATTTTGAAACTAAACATTACTATTACCTGCAAAGTATTTCAGAGCTCCAGAACCACACTTTGGAAGTGTCTAGTTAAATTTAACTAATTACTTATTAATTAGGTGCCCTTTTCTACAAATTAGTTATTACAAATTAGTTGGTCAACAAAAAGTGAGATGTTAAAAATAACCAGTTAAATTTAATTACTAATGTGCTAATTGTTTTCTGTCTTGCAACAAGGCTAAACAAAACTCAAACCTTCTCCAAAACATGCAGTTTCCCGATGTGTTTAAGCACAAATCCTACCATAACCCAATCATTACTCAAATGGATGATGTTGTAGCCCATGTAAAGCGAGAAAGAATTATAAAAACTAGTAAAGGGGTATTTTGAAGCATGAAACCCATAAAAACTTAGAGCAAGGTTTTCCCCTGACATTCAGTCCAGTCGTGTCCAACTCTGGGGGTTGGTGCTCATCTCCATTTCTAAGCCAAAGAGCCAGCATTGTTCGTAGACACCTCCAAGGTCATGTGGCCAGCATGGAGTGCTGTTACTTTCATTCAATATGTCAATGGATTAGCAAGCTTTGGTTTCCACAATTTCTTCCTTTTCCATTACATCCCAATTAAACCTGGGCATCTTTACTAACCGATTTTCTGTTTCATCAAACTGATTAGTACACCCCTGGAACTTTTTTCTTCCAAACTGTGTTTCAAGATCTTGGCTTATTCTAGTCCATAGTTCTGACCTATACTATCTCAGTTCAGATGAAATGGGAAGCTTGATACAGTGCTCTAGAATAGCACTGGAATTGGATTGCAATAGCTTTTGAAGAGAACATTAAAAAACAAAATAGATTACAACCACACCTCTAAAAACAGCCTACACAACACTAAAGAAGTGATTAGAAGTTCACATTGCAGTTTTGGGCTTATTCTGAAAAACAAAAACAAAAAACAAAAACATGGGAACTCCCAATCCCCATGTGACTGCACTGATGCTTTGAGGAACCTGCATGCTGGCTAATAGTTGTGCAATTTTCACTTGTCTTACAGGCTTTGCAGCCACATGTATACATGGGGGGAAATGCATGTTACAGAATCATAGCCATAGATCTTATCCTTAGTAAGACCCAAGTGTTTAAATAACCTTGAGAATGAGAACGAGTTGACAGCACTATGTAAGAGATCACTATGCAACTGCTGTTCCTACTGAATATAATACTTTGGAAAAAAAATCAGCCCTCTTTTATCAATTATCTCTTAGTATGAATGGCAAAAACTATTGCTATGTGATGCATCCATTTTTCTTTTGAAAATAATTAGCTTGCATAGAGATTATTGCTGGTTTCTAAACTTGTTTTTATATACATTTCCAAGTAACGGGGGGGGGGGGGGGGCTAACAAATTAAAGGACAAACAATTATAAAGTTATTGTCGAAGGCTTTCATGGCTGGAATCACTGGGTTGTTGTAGGTTTTTTTGGGCTGTATGGCCATGTTGTAGAAGTATTCTCTCCTGACGATTCGCTTGCATCTATGGCAGGCATCCTCAAAGGTTGTGAGGTCTGTTGGAAACTAGGAAAATGGTTTATATATCTGTGGAAGGTCCAGGGTGGGAGAAAGAACTCTTGCCTGTTGGAGCTAGGTGTGAATGTTTCAATTGGCCACCTTGATTAGCATTTGATGACCTGACAGTTTTTAGGTGTGCTTGTTACTGCCTGGGGAAATCCTTTGTTGAGAGGTGATTAGGTGTTCCTGATTGTTTCTTGTCTGGAGTTCACCTGTGTTTGAGTTTTGTTCTTTATTTACTGTTATATTTTTAGAGTTTTTAATACTGGTAGCCAGATTTTGTTCATTTTCATGGTTTCTTCCTTTCTGTTGAAATTGTTCACATCCTTGTGGATTTCAATGGCTTCTCTGCATAGCCTGACATGGTAGTTGTTAGATTGGTCCAGCATTTCTGTGTTCTCAAATAATATGCTGTGTCCAGGTTGGTTCATCAAGTGTTCTGCTATGGCTGACTTCTCTGGTTGAAGCAGTCTGCAGTGCCTTTCATGTTCCTTGATTCATGTTCGGGCAATGCTGCGTTTGGTGGTCCCTATGTAGACTTGTCCACAGCTGCATGGTATATGGTAGACACCTGCAGAGGTGAGAGGATCCCTCTTGTCCTTTGCTGAACGTAGCATTTGTTGGATTTTCTTGGTGGGTCTGTAGATAGTTTGTATGTTGTGTTTCCTCATCAGCTTCCCTATGCGATCAGTGGTTCCCTTGATGTATGGCAAGAACACTTTTCCTCTGGGTGGATTTTTGTCTTTACCCTCATGGCTTTTTTCTCAGTCTGATGTCTGAGGTGGAGTATCCATTGGTCTGCAAAGCCCAGTTTGGGTGGTTCAGTTTCCCTTGGAGGAGGTGAAGTTCACAGATTCTTTTTGCATGGTCTGCTAAGGCTTTAATTGTGCTTCTTTTTTGACTTGGGCGATGGTTGGAGTTTTTATGAAGGTATCTATCTGTGTGTGTGGGCTTTCCATAAACTGTGTGATCCAATTGCTGATCTGGTTTGTGGATGACTAGGACATCTAGAAAATGCAGTTTTCCTTCATTTTCTTTTTTTCATGGTGAATTGTATGTTTGGGTGGATGCTGTTAAGGTTGTCTAGCAACCTGTTTAGTTCTTCTTCTCCATGGCTCCAAATGGTGAAGGTGTCATACACATATCTGAATATAGTGGGCGTTTTTGTTGCTGTTTCCAGGGCTTGTTTTTCAAGGTGTTCCATGTAGAAATTTGCTATGACTGGGCTAAGAGGGCTCCCCATAGCTACTCCATCTTTCTGTTCATAGAATTCATTGTCCCACTGAAATTAACTGCCTTTTCTAGATTTTCCTAGTTTCCAATAGACATCACAACCTCTGAAGATGCCTACCACAGATGCAGGCAAAATGTCAGGAGAGAATGCTTTTAGAACATGACCATAAAGCCTGAAAGACCTACAACAACCCATTAGCTAGATTTTGCCTTTCTTGATGCTGGAGTTAAAAAGATTTTCCTATTTCTGCACTAATATCAAGGGTTTCTGTCTCTACACTCTCACATTATAACTCTTCGATTAAAAAACAAATTAATATTCTAGTTTAATAGATATCTATTTTCAGCAGGGAGAGCAATTTTCAGTGAAAACTTTCAAGCAAAATTAGGGACAATGGCAGGACAGATTAATCTGATTGTTCTATTATACATGCTATATGCAGAGTTACTTTGCTAACACACAGCAAGGGGGCCTGGTACCCACACTAACTGCCCTATAAGCAACTGAAATGGAGAATCTCAAATCAAGTTCTCTTCTTAGAAAGCGGAGAATTATGCTAACATAAGACATCATGATAGAAAAGAAGTAATATAAAAGTGTAACTATGACAAAACATTTTCCTTGAGCAAATCAGTTAAATGAATTGATTTAAACCTGAAACATACCATCATATGTTCCACTTTCTAGCAAGGCTCCACTTTCTTCTAGAGCCTTAAACTGTTCCACAGGAATAAAATTATAGTCTACCCCAGGGACCTCCCCATCTCTGGGAGCTCTTGTAGTGCCTGTGGAAAAAAAAAAAGAGGCAGGAAGAGAACAGCTGTAAAGTTTTTTCAGCACTGCTAGTTTACAAAATACTCAGTTTGACTTGGCAGAGAAGCAATCTAATGCTGCATACAAAGAGGCTGCCACTTCAGCAAGATCATAATCAGAACATTCTAAGTCACAAGCACTCCAGAATGTGAAACTAGGGCAATAAATTATGTAGCAATGAGATATTTTAACAAAAGAACCCTCATGAATTTATGAAGTCTATAGCTACAAGATGAGTGCAAAAGAGTCATTTGAATTTTTCTTCACATTAAAACACTAATATGCTGCTCTTTATGTGTTTTTTTTACATCCACAATCTTCTCTGAATAGAGATAGCTAACCTTTTAAATTTAAAAGACCTGATGTATTTGCATTCAAATCTTGGCATTTTAGAGAGTGTGTAACAAATCCATATCAGCATAACAAAACAGTAAGGTATTGTAAAACAATTTAATTCTTCTTTTCTATATAGAACTGAAATATTAAAAATGGAAAGATGCTCAACACAGTGGTATATTTATCATACAATTTGCTGTTGACAGAAAGCTACACTTCATCAAACTTCATCCTCTTAATATGTCCAGCATTTCCTAAGAAAAGAGCTATCAATTTAGCAAGAAAAAAGTGTTGGAACATTCTCTTTCAACTACTCATTCCCTGACTGAATACTTCTCCTATTTACACTGTACTGTACACTCAGATAGAGAGGGCTAATCAGGAAAGCAGTTTCAGATTCTATCATCTTCTGCAGAATGTGAAATATGCAAGCTCATGTCTGAAAATATATGATTACCAGGAAATTCCACCTGAACATTAGGAAAAACTTCCTGACCCTCTGAGTTATTCTGTGGATGCTCAAATCACATTACATACAATGGTATAATAAAATAGAGTCTGAGGATCTGTGAAATGGTGGGAGGGTTGCATCAGGGAGTTTCTATACTTCACCAAGGTGCTTGATGTGTAGCAAAATCAAGGTTTGCTTTGAGGATATTATTTTCAAACCATGGTTGATTGAATTAGTGGATACAGAACCTGTGGATATGGAAGGTCGGCTGTACTAACAAATCTGTCTTTCATTTGGATTTCAATAATGATCTTTTGCTCTTTTTTATTACTTTTCTCTTTAGAGTATAATTTATTTCTGAACAAGGTCTACAAAATGAATTAACATGAAAAACTGATGGTTTCTAAGATAGCAAGAAAAAAAAACAAGATATGATAATCCCACAGATAAGCTCCACACTTGAGGGGCAATTTCTTGTCTCTTTTCATTAATAGGATATCTCCTGAAAAATAATAGTGTTTTCAAGCCACCTTTTGAAAAATGTATCACATTCATATATAAAACATTTTTTCAACATGCTGTTACATTTGTGTATAACTCTTGCCATCATATTGGTGTTTACCTGCAGTTTCATTATCTGGAAATGTTTTGTTAAATTTTCTTCTCCTTGACAACACCATGACAACACATAACAACTACAATATAATCAATATTAGGGCAGTGCGAACGGTAAAACATGTTTCAAAAGTAATCACAAAATTAGGGGGCACCGGCATTTCATTTCTGAAGTGTTTCTAAAGAGTAATTAGTGAAAATTTTGTTACTATAACAAGAGTAACCGAATTTTGTTACCTTTTGTTATAGTAATTGCGGACGTGGAGAAACTTCAGGGGCTTCTTTCTCCCTCATTTTTACAGATATTGGGGTGAAACTTGCTACAATGGTAGAACATATTTACCACTGTTAGCCCATCAAGTTTCAGAATGTTTCACTTATTCATAGATTTTTGGGGAATTTTCAAAGTTTTTATAAACAACATTTTAAAAACTACAAATTTCCTATACAATGGCACAAGATAACAGGGAATAATTCCCTCCAACTTTCAAAAATATTAATACATCTAATGATTTTAGGGATTTTTTAAAAATTGACAAAAAACTTTTTGAAAAAATCACATCAGCTATCTCATTGATAGTCTCTCATATTAAGCAATAGAACTTTCATTTAGGAATTTCTTCCCAGCACAGCACAGAGATTTACTTAGTAGAAATATCAGTCAGTCCTCCTCTTTGCAGATTCAACAATTTAGTGAAACTCTGTTTGGCTGTTGCTACGAAGGGACAAATCTCTCTCCTATTCTGAATGGGGCTTTCTGATGCTGAGCAGAATTCTGGGAAATGTAGTTTAGTGCAAGGCATTTTGAATTCTCTGCCATAGGGTTCCTTGCCTTGCCAAACTACATTTCCCAGAATTCTGTGCTTTTTCAGTTTCTTTCCCAACGAACTCTGCTTTTTCCCTGTTCCTTCCCTCTCCTAATGGTAATAGACTATTAAAGAGGAAAGGCAGCCTTTTTTTGACTTTGCTTTGCTTCCTTGCACTGAAAATGAAACTGACATTAACAGGCTTCCAAGATTTGCAAAATTAAAATGAAATTGGGTAAGTTTCGACTCTTAAGTTTTTGCCACGGGCTATGCCCACATGTCGGATATTGCGTCATAAGTACGAATTTAATGAATTTGATATGCCTTCTGACTACTAACAAAAACATTGCACATTCCTAATAAATATAGTTGGTTGCAGCTCTTATTTTTCTATACCACTACTAACACTAAGAGCAAAACTAATAGTCCCAATCCTTTTTCCTAGGAGGGTGTGGGAGCAAAATATCTATTTAAAAAAAAACCACAAAACTTAATACAACTATAGCCATATCATCAGATGTGCTGATTTTTTCATTACAGGAGCACCAAAACATAACATCCCTGCACATCACATACACTATGAAGTCTCACAGAAATATACACTCAGTTTTATTCCTGACGCATACCTTAACAGAAATGTTTGTCACAGCATCTGAGCTGCATATATAGTTATCACAGCTTCTGTATATAGTTAAAACTTGAGTAAGCAACTAACCTCACAAAGTACAGTTGCATTCAGATATGTCAGATTTTTTCCCCAAGAGTAGCTTCATGCTCCACTTGCTTACAAGTGATCTTTAAAACTTCCAAACTATTTGTTGTGATTTTTAAAAAAGTATCAGCCTATGATATCAAAGCAAAATGATTTATTTGAACATGTACCTATCCTGAACAGAGTATTTCTATAATGTAAGAGAATCACAAGTTGGTTCTTATACAGCTAACAGAAAATGAAGCAGAAGAGTTGTTAAAGCAAAAATCTAGTCTTTCAAAAGACCACACAATAAACTTTTGGCCCCAATCCTCAATGGAATTACCAGGTTTGTACTTATTACTAAACACTGCTCATTTCTACTACATTAAAATTCGTTCACAAAACTGCTAGGAAAATGAAAGATTTAGAAACCAGATGCTGCGAATTACTAATTTTCCTTGTAGAACACATTACTGAGCACATACCCATTCCAACTTTCCTCCTATAACCCTTCATCTGAAATTCTATTTCCCTGTTATTATTCCCATTTCTTTTTTTAGCCTACCTTTAGTGAAACTCATTTAACAGATATCAATTGCCCTATTTTATTTTAAACTGAAATTTTTTTCAGATGTTAATTTCAACTTTAGAAAACCTTTATAAAACTATCTTGAACACAGAATCATGAACTTGGAAGAAAGCAGAAGGGCCATCCAATTCAACCCGTACCATGTAGGAAAATACAATCAAAACATTGCTGACAGATGGCCATTCAGTCAACATATATTTCATCTGTTAGTTCATAGTTCTTATTAGGCTAATTGCTACCTATGAAAATTAATGGTAGCAGCTTCACCCAAACCAGGACTGCCTAAAACAAAATGTGCCTGTCAGAGCCAACTGCCTAGAAGCAGTCAACAAAGAAGACCAAGCCATACCTCCAATGGAATACAGAGTATGCAGTTCACTTCACATTCTTCAGCTACTGACAAATGGAACTTGGAGAAAGAGATTTTCAATGACAGGCAGGATTATATTCATCCTTAGAGAATGCAAGCACAATTTAACAAGCATATAATATCCACTATTTATGAGTTTCATTTCGGATATTTCATATTTAACCAAATGAGTTATGTCACCACACTAAATACTTACACGGGATGGTTCTCAAGTAGAGATTATCTCTGATCACTTGTTGCAGTTTATGATCAATTGAACCTTTTTGGAACTGCAGGCTTAGGTAGTGACGCAAATCTTTGTTGATGACTTTGCCTGTAAAAAAACAGAGTGTCACACAATACTGTAATCTGCCACATGACAACTGTAATCTACTACCTTTCTAGGATTCTTATTCTCCACAAAAAAGAAAAGTCATGTCAATAAGATTGATGCAGATTTTGTACCTGCAACATACAGCCAATAATTTGCTCAATTAGTGCATCATATAGTCACTTTTCTAAAGTCATCTATAGATGCTTCTCTCTTTATGTCTACTGGCTATTTACAATTTTTATCTTCTACTATTGGAAAAATGAGAATTGTTGGCAGTTTGCACTAATCTACTTTAACATTAATATCATTTCCCTCAAACTGTTTAGTTTGATTTGAGGACACAGAAAAGTTGAAAATCTCAACTTGTGTTACTTGTAAACACTGCAATAATCAATGTTAACTATGCATGTGTCAATTATATTATGAAACAGCAAAATACTAGAAGCATTTCACAAGTATTAAATGATGCATAAAAATTGACAGATGATTTATCAGAAAGCTCTAGTACAGTGGTTCTCAACCTTCCTAATGCCACAACCCCTTAATACGCTCCCTCATGTTATGGTGACCCCCAACCATAAAATAAGTTTCATTGCTACTTCATAACTGTCATTTTGCTGCTGTTATGAATAGTAATGTAAATATCTGATATGCAGGATGTATTTTCATACACTGGACCAAATTTGGCACAAAGACCCAATACACCCAAATTTAAATATTGGTGGGATTGGGGGAGGGTATTGATTTTGTCCTGTGGGAGTTGTAGTTGCTGGGATTTATAGTTCACCTACAATCAAAGAGCATTCTGAACTCCACCAACGATGGAATTGAATCAAACATGGCACAAAGAACTCCCATGACCAAGAGAAAATACTGGAAGGGATTGGTGGGAGTTGTAGTTCACCTACACCCAGAGAGCACTGTGGACTCAAACAATGACGGATCTGGACCAAACTTGGCACGAATTCTCAATATGCCCAAATGTAAACACTAGTGGGGTTTGGGGAAAATAGATCTTGACATTTGGGAGTTGTAGTTGCTGGGGTTTATAGTTCACCTACAATCAAAGAGCATTCTGAACCCTGCCAACGATTCAATTGGGCCAAACTTCCCATGCAGAACCTCCATGACCAACAGAAAATACTGTGTTTTCTTGTGGTCTTTGGTGACCCCTCTGACACCCCCTCGCGACCCCTCCAGGGGTCCCGACCCCCAGGTTGAGAAACACTGCTCTAGTAGAACACAGAAAGATTATCTTATTCAGAGAGATCGGAAACTTTAATTGCAGTTTGCAAATAGTTTGACTGATCTATTCCAAATTATATATTATAAATTATATATGGATTATGGCATATTTTTATATGTATTATTAAACTTAAGTCTCAAGAAGACATTAATTTTTTATTTAAAGTTTCAGTAAATAGGTGCCAAGAGGTTACTTTTATCAACTCTACAGGAAAATGCCAAATTGCTTGAAGATTAAGGAAATCTAGATGTTCAGAGATTCACAATGTCAGAGTTGTAAAGGAACACAGGAGATATTCCAGTCCTGCAACCTATCGTTCAATACACAATGTGCAATTTAGGATACAAGTTAAAAGTTAAAAGAGGAATATGGAAAAAATGATTTTGATGAAGTCTGGGAAAATATATTGAAAGAGGATTTAAAAAGAAGGTTGAAAAATTACCTCCACAAGAGGAAATGAAATTCTGGACAGAGGATATAAAAAGTGGCTTGGAGGAGGGGAGCACAGAGGTGAATAATAGAAATATATACAGAAGAGTGAAATTTACTGTAGATATAATGAGATTAATGGGGGGGGGGGGAAGAGATTTAAGCGCTTTGGATATCATATATCTGCTGTATTATGAATGTATTGATTTATTTTACAAAAATTAAATTTTATTATTAAAAAAGGATACAACCAAATTAGGAGTGTGCCACTATCTCAGTGATGCTTGTGGACTGCTGCTTAGTCATTAAAAATCTTGCATGTGTGTGTATATGTGCCTTCGGGTCTATCTTGCCTCTGTGTCTGTCTATATATGTTGTATTTCTAAATGGCATCAAATGTTTGCCACGTATATGTGCATTGTAATCTGCCCTGAGTCCCCTGCAGGGTGAAAGGGGTGGAATATAAATACTGTAAGTAAATATATAATAAGTAAATCTTCAATTAACTTGTCAAATCTTTTCTAAAATGATCCAAGTGAATGGTCATTACTACAGTTTGTCATAGCGAGTCCCACAGCTTGCACTGCAAAATGAATTTGCATGTTTCCATGGGGTATTTCAGTATTCTAGTCGCTCATATCCTCCATTCGAACTTTGCTTTCACCCAGTTTTCAATTTTTGCTCCCAATAAGCCTGCATTTTTTGGTAAACCTATACGGTCAATCTTCATTTGGAGTTTCGTGGGATTAGCCTCCTGCAACCAATCCACAAAGATTTTTACAGTTTTCCCCAAACCTGCTGAAAGCTTCCTCTTATGTACAAGTTGTGCTGTTTTGTCTAGGTAAGTCATTCTCTTTCATCCAGAATATGGGAAATAAATTAAGTGATTAGTTTGCCAAAGAACTGAAGACAATACAATTTTATAATCTTATTATAAAAGCTGGCCTCAACACACAACCCATCAAACCATGTCAAAAAGAATCTGGAGGAAGAATATATATAAAAACTCAAAACACACAGCCCAAAATGATTCTAAACAGACCAGCCTAATTATCCTATATTTCACTGTATTCAAAATCCTGTGATTTCAAGTTTCCAATTCACCCAGAGAGGAAAAATATTGCTCAAGGCACCAAGGATGCCCCCCCTCCCGTTTTCTAAGGGCTAAATCCTACATATATCCTATCTGAAATCAATGGAAGTAAAGTTATTCGAGATTAACAAGTTGTATTTAACATTAGATTTAGCTCAAAGTTACCTTTTTGCATACATACTGTACAGGGCACACCAATAGCATATTCCCAAATTATATAAATTATATTTTACACAGCTCACAGCATTGGTTAAATTTAATGTAGCTAGCTACTTCAAACATGCACACACACAGACACACACTGTACAATCTTTAGAAATTTTGGCCAAGAACCTAAGCACTTTAGAACAGCAAAAACAAACACTAGAAAGTTATGCTGCATCTCTGGTCATAAAAAACATTCACACAACATATGCCAAGGCTTTGATCCCATCAGGTACAATGATCAATTACCATACCCACCAAGTCATAGTGAGAGTATGCATAAATGCTTGCAGAACGACAGGTTGCACCACCTCAAGCAAAACCTGAGCAATCAGAATCACTTGTACAACCACTTTTATGCTTATTTTAGTGATCAAGCAGGATTTTAGTCTGGATGCTCTACCACCAAAAATCTGTAAGAATCCTAATTTTTGTTGTTCATTCGTTCAGTCGTCTCCGACTCTTTGTGACCTCATGGACCAGCCCACGCCAGAGCTCTCTGTCGGCCGTCACCACCCCCAGCTCCTTCAAGGTCAGTCCAGTCACTTCAAGGATGCCATCCATCCATCTTGCCCTTGGTCGGCCCCTCTTCCTTTTGCCTTCCACTTTCCCCAGCATAATTGTCTTCTCTAGGCTTTGCTGTCTCCTCATGATGTGGCCAAACTTCAACTTTGTCTCTAGTATCCTTCCCTCCAGTGAGCAGTCGGGCTTTATTTCCTGGAGGATGGACTGGTTGGATCTTCTCGCAGTCCAAGGCACTCTCAGAACTTTCCTCCCACACCACAGCTCAAAAGCATCGATCTTCCTTCGCTCAGCCTTCCCTAAGGTCCAGCTCTCACATCCGTAGGTTACTACAGGGAATACCATGGCTTTGACTAGGCGGATCTTTGTGCAAGTGTGATGTCTCTACTCTTCACTATTTTATCAAGATTGGGCATTGCTCTCCTCCCAAGAAGTAAGTGTCTCCTGATTTCCTGGCTGCAGTCTGCATCTGCAGTGATCTTTGCACCTAGAAATACAGTCTGTCATTGCCTCCACGTTTTCTCCCTCTATTTCCCAGTTGTCAATCATTCTTGTTGCCATAATCTTGGTTTTTTTACGTTTAGCTGCAACCCAGCTTTTGCGCTTTCTTCTTTCTCCTTGATTAGAAGGCTCCTCAGCTCCTCCTCGCTTTCAGCCATCAAAGTGGTGTCATCTGAATATATCTAAGGTTGTTAATGTTTCTTCCAGCAATTTTCACCCCAATCCTAATTTTACTCTAATCATTTATTCCAAGTATCCTCAATGAAGTAAATCTTTTAATTTGGTGTCATGAGCGACTTGAGAAACTGCAAGTTGCTTCTGAAGTAAGAGAATTGGCCATCTGCAAGGATGCTGCCCAGTGGACGCCCGATGTTTTACCATCCTGTGGGAGTCTTCTCTCATAAGAGTAAACCTCATAATATGACATATTAACCTGTCAACACATTGTATGAACATCCAGCAGAAAAGCAATCCTAATCTTTATTAAGTATTGTGGAACCTTAAAGACCAACTTTTCTACCATCAAAGCAGGAAATGCCTCCCCCCCCCCTTTCTCTCTCTATATATATCAGTACCAAGCTATTATAGAAGCCTTTCCAGACGTTATCAGTTCAATAAAACACAGTACAGTCAGCCCTTCACATTTGCTGGGGTTAGGGACACAGCACCAAGAATTGAAATATTGCACCTTTCTAGGAATTTCTAGGTATTTCAGCATGACCCTATGGTTGATTTCCCTAGAAAGATGAGCACCAAAGACCTAGAGGTTCCTAGAGAGATGTTCTCTCTAGAAATCCTCTAGATCCTCCAACAAGACTGATTAAGAATACTTAAATAAAATCTGTGAATAATCACATCCGCAAAAATGGAGGACTACTATAATCAAGCAGAAATATGATACAAAGACAAACTGAAAATCTTGGTCAGAGATGCCAAGGGCTCAGATTTTATGTGAGACTTCAGTCCTCTTCTGGTTTACAGCACAATGTTGGAGCAATATCCTTTTCT